CGCGCCCTCTGCGCCGCCCGTCTCGGACCACGAGATGAGCGCTGCGGCACATGCGTTTGCGCTGGCCGCACACAAGGTCGCCGGCACGCTCCCGCCGTCGTCGCCGACGCACGAGGACCCGCACACGTCGCGCGCCCCCGCGCCGAGGCATGTCCCGGTCGTGATGGGCCTCGAGCAGCTCAACGAGACCCTGCTACAGAAGTCGTACGAGCAGAATGCACAGGTCGCGGCGAAGCGCGGGCGCTCGCGCAAAGCGGCTCCTGCGGCGCCCGAGGATGCAGCGCACCACGAGGTCGCCGTGCACGAGGACGCCGCCGACGCCGCTGCGCCGTCGCTCAAGACGTACGGCCGTGCGCATACCTCGCGCGACGCCCCGCGCGACGCGCCAAGCCCCACGCCGGACGGCGCGCCGAGCCCCACGCCGGACGGCGCGCCAAGCCCCGCGGCGGACGACGCGCCAAGCCCCACCTCCAGCCACAGCGCACCGAGCGCCCACGGAAGCAGCGAAAAGGAAAACGTGCCCCTCTCGCCGATGCTTCCTGCCGACGAGGGCGAGCTGGACGTCGACCTCGGCCGCTTCTTTGCGCCGACACAGGTGGCGCCTGCATCGCCCGTGCGCTCTCCGCCGCGGCGCGCGCCGCTCCAGGAGGCGGTGGCCGGCGGCACCCCCCGTGAGCGCACGCAGTCCAACTCGTCGGTCCTCGCACAGTTCTTCGAGAGCACGCAGGAGCAGCCGGCGCGCGGCGCGTCGCTCGACCTCTTTGCGAATCAGCAGCGCGACGGGCCGGTCGGCGGCATGACGCAGTTCTTCGAGCCGACGCCGGAGCCGTCGAGCGCACGGCCCACGCGCTCGCAGGAGGCGATGCCGCCGCCGACGCGCGCCGCGAGCACCGACGGGTTCGCTGCGCTCCGTCGGCAGCAGGAGGAGGATGCGCATGCGCCGCTCTCGCCCGAGGTGCTCCCGTCGCTGGACCCGTCGCTCGCAGAGCGCAGCGACGACGCATGGCGCGAGCGCCGCGCGCCGTCTGCCCACGACGAGGTGATGTACATCAACCAGGACGGGTTCTTTACGCAGACAAAGCCCGCGGACGATGCGCCTGCGCCGTCGCACCCCGCCGGCCCGCCGCCGTCGCAGCGCACGCGCGAGCTGATCGAGCGGGCGGCGTCGCCGCTCGACGCGCCTTTGGACGTGCCGGGCGCCGAGGGCGGCGCGCGCGACGAGCCCGGCGCCGACGCCGTGCCCGAGGCCGACGCCTCGCTCCTGGCGGCGCTCTCCGACTCTGCCGACGAGCCGCTGGACATCCCGTCCGACTCGGAGGGCTCGGACGGCGCCGAGGACCCTGTCGCGGCCTCGGAGGCGCGTGCTCACTGGGCGTCTGTGCTTTCTGAGCGCAAGGTGCACGGCAAGCCGCGCGAGCGCTCTGCGTTCGTCTTTGGCGAGGCCGAGGAGTCGGACGAGGAGGACGCGCACGGTGGCGAGCACGGCGGCCTGGCCGGCGTGTTCAGCGACCGCGGCTCGGACTCGGAGCCCGAGGAAGGCTCCGAGGACGACGCGGACCTCGAGAGTCTCTTGGACGACGAGCGCGACGAAAACGAAGAGGAGCAGGACGAGGCGGCGCGCATGCGCTACCAACAGCACCGCGACGAGGACGACGCGGCGATGCAGGCGCTTCATGAGCGCGCCGCCAAGGGTCTGCTGCGCAGCCGGCGGCGCCGGCTCGACGACCCCCTCGCCGAGCTCCTCGACGAGGACGCCGACGAGGACGAGCTGCGCCGCAAGCTCCACGCGCCTGCGTTCGAGCCCAAGCGCCGCCGCATCGAGCAGGACGGGCTGCAGGCGCTGGCGGATCGCGAAGACTCGCGGGCGTTTGTGCAGGCCTACAACGAGACCCACGTCCACGAGGATGCAGGCCGCTACGACTTCCTCGGCGAGGCGAGCAGCGACGAGGAGCGCGTCACCGCACACGACCTCCGCGCCGAGATCCGCCAGCGCGCGCAGCAGGCGCCGGAGGCGCAGGACGCGTCGTCGGACGAGGAGGACGTCGTGCTCCACAAGCTGCGCCCGCGCCAGGCCCAGGCGGCCGCGCGCCCCGTCGACGACGACGAGACCGAGTACGCGCGGCTCCTGTTCAAGGCGGGCCACGTCGACCTCTCCCAGCTGCCGCGCGAGCTGCAAGAGCGCCGCGCGCGGCTCTTGGAGGAGTACAGCAACGAGCCCAGCTGGCGCCAAGAGCGCGGTGGGCGCCACGGCATCGACCGCCGCCGCACCGGCAAGGGCAAACGGAACTCGGTGCCGATGCCCGCGCCCCCGCCAGCGGCACCGACGCACTCTGCGCCCTCTGTGCTCGTGCACAACATCCTGCGCCGCGAGGCGCACTTTGCGGCCCCCCCGTAGATACCCCACACCACGTGACCAACGCGTCCAGTGTTGTTCTCTGCCATGGAGCGCACGCCCGGGCGGACGGCGGCGCCGGTGCCGCACACCCCACGGCGCACCTCGGACGCCCACTCACGCCTGCCGATTCGGACACCGCAGCCACGCACGCCCCGTGCGACCCTCGCACCACTCGAGGAGCGCGAGAATATTCCCCATCATACCCATGTGCTGCCGCGCAACAAGCCGGCCGACGAAGTCGCGCGCCTCGCCGAGAAGCTCCTCGACGACCTCCGAAAAGAAAAACACGCTCTGCAGAACGAGCGCGAGGACCTGCGCACCGAGATCCGTACGTCCCATGCTCACACAGAACTCGGCCGCCAGCGCGAACTCAAACTGCGCACGCAGCTCGACAAGCAGGAGAGCATGATCACTCGGTACAAGCAGCGCGCCGCGCACATGAGCAAGTCCCACATCGACTCCCGCGACTGGGAAGAGTCGCAGCAGCGGCGGATCGAAGCAGAGGCTGAAGCGGAGGCCAGCGCCGCGCGGTGCGCGGAACTCGAAGCCCAGCTCGAGGAGATGCACGAGCAGCAGGAAGTCGAAGAACTGCTACAGACCAACATGCGCTGTATCGCGCGCGCCGCCGGTAGCCTTGCGCAGCGGTCTCTGCCTAGCGAGCAGCATTGGTACCCACGGCCGATCGTCTCGATCACGGAGGACGTCGAGGCGCGCGAGCAGCTAGAAGCGACCCAGATGCAGAGAGATGCGCTGCTCGTCGAGCTCGACGAAGTCCTCGCGCACGTCCGCCATCTACACACTCGCTGCGATGCACTGGAAGAGGAGCTTGACCACAGCCATACGCGGGCCGAGTTGGACGAGGACCAGCTCGTTTCTGCACGCCTCCACGCCCAATGCGCCGCGTCCGAGGCGGCATGGTATGCGTCCAAGCTGCAGATGGCCGAAGACCGCACTGCGTGGCTCGAGGCACAGCTCGAGCATACGCAGGCAGTACACAACCGAGTCCTTGCGGCCCTGCAGTCCCGCGAGCGGAGCCTCAAGGAAGAGGCACAGGCGAACGTCGATGCCGCACTTGAGGCATCGCGCCACAACGAAGCACGACTCCATGATCGCGTGTTGCAGCTTGAGGCCGAGCTAGACCGCGTCGCGTGGTACGAAGAGGCGTATGCGCAGCGGTCGCGCCAGGCCGACCTTCTCACCGAGATCGCGACCCTGGCTGATGCGGACGCCCGGGCGCAAAAGATCGACTCTTTAACAACACATATCGCCGCCATGCATGACGAGCTCCAATCCCTGCAGTCGCGCCATGACGAGCTCCAAGAGTACAATGCACACTGGGAACGCAGTCTCGAGGGACTGGATGCCAAACCAGTCAAGCGGCGCCGTGCCGCTTCGGACGCAGGTCGATCCGCGTCCCACGCCCGCACCTTTCTCTCGTAGCGCCGGTTAGGCGCCAAAAATATCTCATGTAGTTTATCCCCCATCCAGGTAGAGTGCACGGGAAACGAGTCCAGGCGATATGTCGTACACATCATCGCTTAGCGGCGACCCCACCCACCCCGTCTCGGCGATCGACAGGACAGGCAACGGCTGGTCCGGCAACGTCGTGTACAGTATGGCCTTATCGTCTGTTATGCAGTCGAGCGAGTTGAGCGGCGGCGTGTTATGGAGATTCAGTGCACTAAATCCCAAATACGTCATCAACACGACCACAAGCGACCAGGCAACCAGAATGTAGGCCCATTCCCGGCGTGGGAACCACTCGATACCCATGTCCATTAGGAGCCATTCGGGGCACAAAGCCCAGATGCACCACAGCACCCACAAAACTGAGGCAAATATGTAGAGCGAAAAACCGTACGTCTCGCTCTTTGCGTCGCTCCGTTGGTAAAGAGGCGCGTCACTCGGCGCTCGTGCACCCTCGTCCATCACAGTGGAGGCACCGTGGAGGTGCGTGCGCCGAATCCTGGATCTGCCAGTCATGACCTCGCATCTGCTCGATGGACTGAAAAGGCAGGACGACAAGCGCGATCCAAGCGATATGTGTGTATTCTGTGATATTATAGAGCGGAAGCAACCCGCTCATATTGTCTCAGAGACTGAAGACTGCCTCGCCTTCCTGGATATCTTGCCAATTCGCGCAGGTACGCTCCATGAACTCATCCTAGGACACGTCCTTGTCGTCCCAAAAGCCCATGTGAAACGTCTATCTGACCTAAGCGCAAAACAGAGTGCTGCACTGCTCCTGAATGTCGTTTCCGTCGCACGAGCCATGGAGAAAGGTAGGTGCTTTCTGTTCATGTCTAGCATTCGGCATCACAGGGCTACAAGTCGCTGCCAATCAGGAATATGCCCAAGCTGTGGACCATGTATGTGCTTTCGGCTAATGTAGGTCCACTTCCATATCGTTCCCGCTCCACTGCCGGACGGATCCGCTTCGCCATTATCCAAGTATAATACACCCGGAAGTTTGGCTTGGCTTGGGCGCCGAGACGAACTCTCGGACGAAGAGGGTAGCGATCTGGCAACACGACTACAGACGGCAATTGGCACTCTTGCCAAGTTGTAGCGGCTCTACGAACGGTAAAAATATTTTCCAAAAAAATGCGACCAACGAGGTTCGAACTCGTGTCCTCACCTAGAACCGGGCTTACGCCCGCCATCCCTAGTAAATGGGAAGGTGAGATCCTAAACCACTAGACGATAGCCGCACCTACTGTGTCACGGAGTGGTAACATGATTATATGAGATAAAACGACATCTATTCTATAACCACAATTTTGTGATTCTGCTTTCCGGCACGCAGCACGAAGAAGCGGCTGTCGAGCAGGTCCGATTCTGATAAGGTCTGGCGCGCATCTGAAACCGGAGCACCATTTAAGTAGAGACCACCTCCTTTTTGAAGTCGTCGCGCCTCGCCTGGGTTAGTTTGACACGCACTCTTGGAAGCCGAAAGTCCCGCATCGGCAGCGACCCCAATAATTTCGGAGCCGAGCACTTGCCGTGGCATATGCACAAGACGAGCATCGCTTTCGAATGCAAAAATCACATCTCCTGCACGCAGATCATTGAGACGCGTGCCGAACAACACCTTGGTAGCCACCCTCGCTCGTTGCAGCGCTGCGTCGCCCCGAACCAGCTCCGTCATTTCTGCTGCCAGAGTCTCTTGAGCTAGTCGCCTCGAACGATCCTTGTCATGTTCAGCAAGCACCTCGTCGATACGTCGAGTAGGAAGGAGTGTCAAGGAGCGCAAAAAGCGTTCGACGTCCGCATCCGCGCTGCGTAGGAAGTATTGGTAAAAGTCCATGTCTGAAAGAAGCTCTGGACTAATCCACACGGCATTTCCAGCCGACTTTCCCAGTTTAGCGCCATTTGCCGTTGTCAACAAAGGCAGTGTCAAGCCATAGGCTGGATCCTCTCGGATGTCTGCACCCTTGGATGCTTCTTGCCTCCGAATAAGATCAATACCAGCACTGATGTTCCCCATCTGGTCGGAACCTCCAATTTGCAAAGAGCAATGATAAGGCTCGCGGTGCAGAACACTAAAGTCGTACGCCTGCAAAAGTTGGTAAGTGAACTCCGTAAACGAGAGACCAGGTGCACTGTTTCCCTCGCTCTCTGCTGGAGTAAGCCGATTCTTCACGCTGTCTCGCGCCATCATGTCGTTTACGCGAGCATAACGCCCAACATTTGTCAAGAATTCAATCAAGGAGACTGGTTGTAGCCAGCTTATGTTGTTGACAAGCCGCACGTCAAGCCCAGACGTGAATAGGTGTTCTCCTGTGGGACCGACTTTGGCGTCTCCGGTATACTGGTTGGCTTGTGACTCTCTCAATCCACGACGCTCAAGATACGCAGCCGCATTATGGAAAAACTGGTACATTTGTGCGCGGATCGATGTCACATTCTTGGCCAACTGCGCTGGATCGAGAGCCGAACGTTCGGTCGAGCGCCCCGAAGGATCACCGATGGCGCCAGTCCCTCCGCCAATCTGAATTAGCATAGCACGTACAAGAACAAGCGCAGTATGGCCATGAAGGGCACAGTGAAGCAATGCCAAGAGAGGAAGGAGGTTCCCAACGTGCATGCTCGCTGCACTCGGATCTACACCCGCATATACTGTTCGAGGCACCAAGTTCGAATCTTTAGTGGTCGCCATATGAGTGCGAAGGGCGCTTGAGGTGGTTGCTTGAACCATATTACGTTCTTCTAAAGTATCCATAAGTGTTTTTGGTGATGCAGACGACGTGTGCATGCGCACCCATCGTATGTTGGCTTTCCCAGCGCCCGGCGCCGTTCGCCAAAATCGCAGAAGCATGAGGGCGAAGAATAGTTATGAAATCGGGGATGAATCGGGCTTCGCACAGACGTCATGCGATGCCGACTTTGTATGGCTGGGGGTCCAATTTGCATGGGCAACTAGGTCGTTCATTAGACGAATTAGTTGTGCCATGTCCTGTACCAATTCATCGCGCTACAGATATCGTGGCAACGAACGCATCACAGCTCTTGTACCGCAACTCAGGCAGCACATATCTTCTCGGTTATTCCTCGGAGCATCATCTCGAAAAGTCCCAGCCACTTCCTGTGCAGCCCTTGGGACAACCGGTTGGCCAGGACTCGATTTTAGCATACATAAATAATGGGACTGTGTGCTATGGAGAGAACTTCTGCTTGCAAGGAAGCAGTATGGTTTGGAAGGAAGCAGCTGCCGATCTGAGAGGTCGTATTGCTGCGATTACTGGTAAGTCTAGATCTAAACCAGACAAAGGTGTACCCTGGCTCTTCACTTCTGTTGGGCATTGGGCACAATGCACTGGATCTCAAGATGACAACGGCCAGATCTTATTAGAAGCTGATACGTATGCCATGGTCCTATGTCGCCATGTCACAGCAGGAGGCGCGCATTTTGTCTTCCTAACATCCAATTCTCGCCACCGAGTTTATGCAACTGGAGATAACAGATTCGGCCAGCTAGGCGATGTTGCACTGCCATTAGAAACTCAATCTCTCTGTCCGGTTGAGTTCTTTTCTGAAACGGAAGCATTTCCCTCCGATGTGGATCATGTTGCCTGCGGAAATCGGCATACATTAATCAAGACTGTTGACGGGGACTGCTATAGCTGGGGCTTGGCACCTGATGGAAGCATACAGCCACCTGACTTGGTCGAACTCGAATCTGACATTGTTGCTATTGCTTGCGGTGCATCAAGCTTGTATTTTTTGGATGAGCAGGGCGCTATCTATGCAATGGGAGACAGTAAGTTGCCGAAGACGCTGACTCAGACGAACACGGCCAGTTGGGCATTCCGACCCAAGGACCTGCTATGGAGCCCGTCCAAGTCAAGATTGGAGCGTCCAAATCCGTGCAGCTTGCCGCAGCACAATGGACAGCGTACGCAATCGTCCAAGAGTAGGGAATACTTCTTTGCAAAGTACGGCACATACACTACACCAGTACCCCACGGTGCAAAGTCAAGGGCAAGGAGGACTAAGACGACGACGTAGTCGGAGCAACAGGCGATTCCGGACTGCGATGTGAGTTTATAGTGTACATACATAATAGGTGCAATCTGGATGTGAGCCACTTGGAATACGTACCGGCTTGTTGTTTTCGGCGAGCAAGCGCTGCATAAGGACACCAACACCTGAAGTCAGACACCTCTGAGCTGTACAAACCTTCAAAGACACCGAGAAGAATGCCACACATGACACCGGCTCCGGCAGCAGTCTTGGGACCGCCACGGATGGCAAGAGTGGAGCCGGTGAAGAAACCCGCGATAATGGCATTCCACGGGTCTTCCTTCTGGCGAATGGACTTGACGCTGCAGTCAAATGAGGTGAAAAGGCCACCCCAGATACCAAAGTTGCCACCCAACACGGGGGCGCGTGCCTTGATGGCAGAAACGGAGCCAAGGAAGCGCTCGCCACGCGGCGAGTTACGAGCGCCTTTGATGCCGTGCCAGATGGTGCCACCAATGCAGCCCATGGCGAAGGCACCACCGAAGTCGTTTAAGATGACCCAAGGGCAAGGATCACGCGAGTGATCCTGGCCAGGGTGCCCACTCTGTGTAATCGGCATACTGGCTCCTGCAGCTTCGAAGGCCGACGACGTACGAAGATCTCCGGTGCCCACGCGAGTAAGTTCGGTGCACGTGACGTTTGGTAAGGCTATTAAGGTTTCTCTAAGGTCCAGCTTAGGAGCGCGCGAAGTCTGTGGTGAGCTGAATGCTCGTACGTGAAGAGGAGGTATCTAGTTGCGCGTGTCCATACGTCTGGTTGATTAAATTGGAGTCGTATGCTAATTCCCTCGATGGTGTCTTTTTGGATTCTGGGTCAGAAAATATACATACGCGTAGGGCGGGGTGAACGACGGGTCGAGTTCTTGGGCCTTGTGACACAACTGTTCCACGCAAGATAGGACACCTACCATTGCATGATCAAAGCGGCGCGAGTGAAGAAGTCTTCCAATTTGCCAGTCGCTGGTCCCATACAGTTCATAAACACCCTTGTCAGCGCCAAATCGCTCCACTGTACTAAAGGAGCCCCTGGGGTGAACTTTGTATGTAGTAAACTGGCAAGTCAGTTTACGAGAGAGAACTGTAAGCAGAAATGCCGTCTGACCCCATGCAGCATTGATTTCATTCCAATCGATCTGTTCGCCAGCTGCCGAGGCCTGACTCGAACTAAGCCGGCCGAGTCGTAAGCCATTGATCGAAGCCATACCACGCCCATCTTGCTCAATGCAAAAGACGTCAGTATAAGCATCCGACTTTTCCAGGTGTGCGAGAATTTCACGGTCGCTAAGCAGCTGGGCATCAATCTGGTTTTCATCGGATTCCAGTTGTTGTAATTCTGCTTCCTTTGCATTGTAGTCGACCCAGAATTGCTCCTCTTCTTTCCGAAGGGCTTCATCTTCTTGGCGTGTGTCTTCCAATTCTTGCTCAAGATTTTCCCGGTCCTTGCGGTACTGGGTGAGCTCATTTTCGATTCGTGCTTTCTCCGCTTCGATCTGTGTCAGTATAACGACCTACGTCTTCGACTTCACGTTGTACGGCGTTCTGCTTGCGCTGCCATCGAGCGGCGTCATCAGCAGACATTTCCATATCTCCATCAAGCAGGGCAAGACGAACAAGTTCACGCTCCAGCATATTAAGGGTATCATGCTCCTTACGAGCCTCGTTGATCTGGGTCAATGTGTTTTCGTGGAGTTGTTCAGCGCAGGTATCACAGAGCGGGTGCTGAATAGCTTGTGCACCGCCGTAGGGAATCTCTGAAAAACACTGGAACAATTTAGAATACTGAGAAGTTTCCTCAAGGCTATCAACACCCCGCTGAGGTTCCTGCTTGTAGGTGTTAATTTGTGTGCGGAGTGCGTCGCGCAAGTTTCCATGCACGTTCAATGTATCGAGCCTTTCGTCAAAATCCAACGCGCGCTCTGGGGCTTTGTTGGAGAATGACGCTTCAACAGTCTTTTGCGCCTCATCTACAGTTTCTTCGGTGGCCGTGTCAAGGCTTGCATCCAGCTGCAGCGGCTGTCCACAGCGCTGGCAATTCCATCCCATGCTAGGTCCGAGCGCAGGTGGAGGAGCTTCCACGTGGTTTTTGTCCCGGCCTCGGCCGATGGCCATGCGCTGGCCCTGCCGAACCCGGGCAGTGGAACGCCGTCGCTTCTATTCACCGATCCGACACGATGGTGTTTGCTCTGGCC